TTGGCAAAGCCACAAGACTCCTTTTAACAAGCGGCTCCAAATGGGAAGCAGGAGCTGGTGCTGCACCCTCCCTGTTGCATGAGGGAGGAGGAGCTGAGCTCCCTCCCTCTCTCCACCCTTCTGGGGGAGCAACAGCCTCTGGACAGCAAGTCACTGCGCTTTCTCCACTGCAAGGGGGCGCAAAGCCAAGTAAGCGTCTTCTCACATGCCCAGACCCCTGCACCCCAATCTCCCTCCCTCACTTGCCTCCCCCCACCAAGACCATGAACCTCCAGCTTGCTCCAACACCCTCCCCCTGGCCAGACATCTATTACATCCCTAGTGCAGGAGAAACAGTGGATGCAGGTGGGCGGGGAGGGGGGGGGGGGGGGGAAGAGAATCAGCCAGCGGGGAGCGGGACAGTTCAGACCACAAGCAGATTCTGAATAAAAATGTAAAAGCGGTGCCTTTTAAATATCCCCACTGCTAACAGTGAGGTTTAAAGGAACTACAATATGTCAGAATGAAGAGAACCTGGTTGGTGCATTCACCATCCGGAATGAGAATATGGATAAAAAATTTCAAAGATGGTGTCAGCTTCCTGAAAATAAATGAGCCCCTTTTCAAGACCACAAGCAGATTCTGAATAAAAATGTAAAAGCGGTGCCTTTTAAATATCCCCACTGCTAACAGTGAGGTTTAAAGGAACTACAATATGTCAGAATGAAGAGAACCTGGTTGGTGCATTCACCATCCGGAATGAGAATATGGATAAAAAATTTCAAAGATGGTGTCAGCTTCCTGAAAATAAATGAGCCCCTTTTCAATACACGATGTGGTGGTGCAGGGGTTTATTGGATTACAGTCCATTTTTTCAATCCATATTCCCTTAACTTGCTGGTAAGAATGTTATGGGTGTCATATCAAAAGCTTTACTAAAAGCTGGCCCTGGGGGCGTTGAGAGGACCAAAACCAATGTATTTGCATATCATCATTTGCTTAATGAATATGCAAATATACAAATGAATGTTACTGGTCCTCCGAAAGCTCGCGAATGGATTTACTGGTCCCCGTGTCAAAAAGCTTGGGAACCCCGGGACTGGTCCATATCATCATAATGGGTCAATGTCTAGTCCAGTTTCTTGCATGTGCCAGTCAGGTTATGTGTGCACCACCTAGCCTAACGGGGCTTCTCATGGTGACTGGCTTCTGTAATACTAAACAGATCGATAGAGCAAAAAAAAAAGTACCCAGACGTGAACTACTTCAAGACAGGCTAAAAAGAAAAAACAACAAAATTCCACTTGTCATCACCTACAGACCACAACTTAAACCTCTCCAAGACATTATCAACAATCTACAACCTATCTTGAAAAATGACCCTTCACTCTCAGAGGCCTTGGGGGAAAGGCTCACTTACAGACAACCCCCTAACCTCAAATTATTTTCAATAACCACATAACACACCTCCATCACAATCATCCAGGAACCCAGCCCTGCAATCAGCCCCAGTGTCAACTCTGCCCTCACATCTACACCAGCGATTCATCACTGGACCCAACCACATCAGCTACCAAATCAGAGGCTCATTTAACTGCCATCAAATGCCAATAATGTCCCACTGACATGTATATTGGCCAAACTGGACAGTCTCTATGGGAAAAAATGAATGAACACAAATCAGATATCCAAAAAGGCAATACAGAAAAAACCTGTTGGAGAACACTTTAATCTACCTGGACACTCATTAATAGATTTCCAAGTCACCGGTTTGTTTTAATCAAATTCACAAGCCAAATACACAGAGAAGGATTGGAACTTAACTTCATTTACAAGTTTAATTCTTATGCAAATGGTATGAACAAAGAGATTGGCTGGCTCACACACTACCTTCCACATCCTATGACTTAACCCACCATCCAAACAATGGAGGTGCTAATGGTTCTTATCAGCCTCTTGTAACTATTTAGTCTTTAAAGGTGCTACTACACTATTTGTTGTTTTTTAAGTTTTTCCTTTTACAGACTCAGGTACCCCTTTGAAGCTTATCTACTCATTGTCTCTCTTTTTTTCTTACTCCCCTCCTTTTTTTCTCCTTTCTCTTTTATTCCTCCCTCTTCAGCCCCCTCTTATTTATTCTTGGATCTGGACTTCTAACACTCCTGTCATCTGAAGAAGTGGGCTGTGCCCAAGAAAGCTCATGATACCGTCTACATGTTTTGTTAGTCTTTAAAGTGCTACCAGACCATTTGTTGTTTTTTAAGCTTATTCTGTACAGTCTCACTCGGCTATCCCCCTGAAGCTTCAAGCTCCAGTGCCAGTCAGTGCTATCCAGGAATTGATGCATGATGACATCTCAGGACTGACATCTAGAATGTAAGTTCCCACTGGGACTGACACAGCATGTGCTTGCCATCAGCCTGGTCACTGCTCTACAGCCAAATAAGTGATGAACTTTGCCCAGGTCTGGCCTCACCATGAGGCGAACTGAGGCGGCCGCCTCAGGTGGCAGACTGTGGGGGGGCACCACTAGGACCCAGAGTGTAGAAAATTGTGTCTGCTGCTGGCCCAAGCGAGGGGGCATGGGAGTGTTATTTGAGCTCCCCGCCTCAGGTGCCAAAGTGTTGTGGGCCGGCCCTGACTTTGCCACTTGGTCAATTTTGTCTATTTGGACGATGAACTCTTTGGGGCAGGGATTGTGTCTTCCTTGGTGAGTGCACAACCTGGCTAAAGCACTAGTCTAAGATTCAGAAGACTTCCGTTCACATCCCTGTTTTGCCACAGACTTCTCATCTGTCCTCGGACGAGTAAAGTAGAACTGGTAAAGAACAGCTCATAGGCTCAGGTTTTCTGATGAACATTTGACTTTCAGTTGTGGTTGCGCACCTCTATCCCGCAGGGTTCCAGCTGTACAACAAGGATAACAGTGCTTCCATGTCTCATAGGGTAACCAAGAATTTATACATTCAGAATGGATGCACTCAGTTACGGTTGTGATCACCTCCGTGGGTCCCTGGTGGGTCCCTGCCTGAAATATGCTGCCCCCTTCTACCCTCAAAACCGCATGGAGCACATGGCTTTGGTGACAATTTAAAGAGTGTCAGGCTCCGGCTGCCACCATAGCCACAGCGGCAGGGGGGGGGCCCCGGGCTCTTTTTAT